GTTTTCTAACCTTACCTCCTTTCAAGTGCGCTTTTTAGCATTCGTTCCTTTTCGAGTGCTATCTCTTTTTGAATACTCTGTCAAGTTTCCATTGCTTAAATAGTGCATCTTCGAGTCCCATCATGTTGTCTTTTCAAGACATTTTATTGTTTTAACTTGGACAGGTTACCCATCACAAACAGACCTCTTCCAAAACCTTTTTCATCTTCTATTTGATGAAACCATCTTTTGAGAAATCCTTGCATTTCTCACCACCCTTTTCATCTTTTATTTGGGTCGGTTGCCCATTACAATGAAACCATCTTTTGAGAAATCCTTACATTTCTCACCACCTTTAAAATCTTCCATTAGGGCCGGTTGCCCATTACAATGAAACTATCTCTTGAGAATCCTTGAATTTCTCAACACCTTCAAAATCTTCCATTCGGGCCGGTCGCCCATTATAATGAAACCATCTTTTGAGAAATCCTTGCATTTCTCACCACCTTCGAAATCTTCCATTTGGGCTGGTTACCCATAACAATGAAATCATTTTGAGAAATCCTTGCATTTCTCACCACTTTTAAATTCTTTACATTTGGGCCGGTTGCCCATAACAATCAAACCATTTTGAGAAATTCTCGCATTTCTCACCACCTCTAAAATTTTCACATGGGCAAGTCACCCATCACAACAAGACCACTTTGAAAAATCTTTGTATTTTTCACCAATTTGAGAAAGCATTTTTCACCATTTTGAGAAATCTTCGCATTTCTCACCATTTTGAAAAATCTTCGTGTTTTTCACCGGGTAGGTTGCCCATTACAACAAGACCACTTTTGAAAAATCTTTGTATTTTTCACCTCTTTGAAAAATCTCTGCATTTTTCACCTATTTGAGAAATCTTCGCATTTCTCACCACTTTAAAAAATCTCTACATTTTTCACCTTTGAAAAAATATTTGAATTTTTCACCACTTTGAAACGTCTTCACGTTTTTCACCTGAGTAGGTCACCCATTATAATGAGACCACCTCAAAAAAAAAAAAAAAATTTCTTCGTTGAGTAGGTCACACATGACAATTTGACCATTTCAAAATCTTTGAATTTTCAAAAACTCTTCCAGTTTTCACTCTGAGTGCGCTTTCTAGCCCTCAAGTGGATTCATCATTTCTATGATGAGTCCATCATCTCATTTTCTTTCTTTACAATGCTTACTATCTTAAGTCTCTTACGAAACTTTCACTCATAAGCATTGTAAAGAGGGGGGCAACTGTCATAACCCAATTTTGGGTTATTCCCCAATTTTTATCCATGTTTTGATAAATTTTTAGGAAAATTTAAAAAAAGAGAAAAAACAACGAAAATCCAAAAAATACATTTTTTAAATATATTTGCATCATTTTTAGCATTTTCAACATCATCTCATAAGAATTTAAATTTTCAAAGATATTTGAAACGCGTTCAACTTTTAACGCGTTATTTTTAAAATCATTGATCTTCCTCATTGAGTCGATGTTGATATTGCTTGTTTTCAAAAAAATACAAAAAAATCAAAAAAATCAAAATTTACAAAAAAATAAAATTGAGGGACCAATTTTGAAATTCATGTAACATTTTGCTTATAAATAGCAACCTTTAACACAAAGCAAAGTGGGGGGCAATTTTGACAAAAAAACAAGAGGAAAGAGGAGCCCTAAACTATCACTTTCAAGGCCAGCAGTCGCCCCCCACCCGGCAAAAAATCTTCTTCTCCCAAACTGAGGCCAGCCGCAGACGAGCTCCTCCCCTTTTGATTTTTATTTTTCTTCTCGCTTGGCCACTTCCCCGGTCATCTTCTCCATCTCAGCCCCTTCCTTGCGGCTGCACCTTCTCCCCCCTCAGCCGGTTGATGAGAGATCCCTCAAACCACAGCCAAAACGCAGCCGTTCCCCCCTTTTTCTTCTCATCTTCAACCTTTAGCTGTGCCTCCAGCTTCACAGCTTTCCCCTCTCTTTGAAATCAAATCACAACAGCCACAAACCAGCTGTCCATCACCCTTCTCCTCCTCAGCCACGACTTCTCCCCTTCTCCAAGACCGCTGTTCTTCCCACTCCTGGCCGACCTAGCTTCACCAGCCACGGCCCAGCCTCCAGCAGCAGCGCCGTCCTTCTCCTTCCCTAACGGCGGCCGAAGACCGGCACCAGCGCTGAGAACCGGCCAACCCGGCCACCATAAACAGACCACCCTCTCACTCCCCTCTCAGCCGGTCTTGGCTGTCAGCAGCAGCGTTACGCCCTGGTTCTGATTTTCTTCTCCAGCCGACCACCAACAGGAGCGAAGACCACCGACACGCCACCAACCCCGACAGCTTCTTCTCCGATCTTCAACCATCCAGACAGCAACAAGCAATGGCGGCATTGAACCCAGAAGAAAGCATTAACGGAGGGAGATAATGGCAGATCTAAAAGAAAAGGGGAAAACAACAGTGAAATTTGCTGTTTGTGTTGTTGGGTTGCTTTGCAGGTGACTGAGAGATGCTTCGCCGGTACGGACAGGAAGAGAAGAAGGAGACGATCCCAATCCACCATTTTGCTGGTCTTCACCGGCGACGGCGCATGAATCCACGCACGGCAAGTGGCGGTGGCGCGTTGGGCAATTTCTGTTCACGTGCACTGTTCACACTGCCAGAAGGACTTCCCTGCAATTTCTGGGGTTTAAGGGGTGTTTTGTAAATTTTGAATTATTTAATGTTATTTTTATTTAGCTTTGTATTTTTATAATTTGTAATGTGGATGTAAAAAAAAAAACAAAAAGAAGAAAAAGAAAAGAAAATACAGGTGTGTGTGTTTGTATTTGTTTTATGAATGTTTTTATTTATTTATGATAAAATTGCAGAGAATAAAGAAGGATTTAATATTTTGATTGGATCACGGTGTAGAAGTACAAACTTGTATGAAAGTTGTATTTCTAAAATCCGATGAAAAGACAAAATTTTTAAAACTTTTTTAACACATCTAGTCCATGAAGCAGCTTACCTCAGGTAAGGTGTGTTAGGGGTGCTAATACCTTCCCTAACCACAACCGGTCCCTTACCCGTGAATCTCTGACAAGACTAGTACAATCGAGTTTCCTAGTAATCTTCAATTAAATACTAGGTGGCGACTCCTAACGAATCCAACAAGATCAAATCAAACAATAACGATGAAAAATTACCGAAGCCGACGTCGCGCGGATTTCTTTTTGACGTGCGACAAAGACTTTGGAATCTCTACTGGAACTACAGGAGGTATGGCTGTCATCGGTCTTTTATGTTGTACTCTTTTTATAGCTATTAATCTCATCAATTTCTATTTCTTTGTTTAACTTGGGTTGTTTTTACTTTATATGATCAGGCTTTGCTCAAGAAGAATCCATCAATTTCTCAATCTTCTAATGGTATATTGCAAATGCCTGTGCATATTACTATATTCTGTATTTCTTGCCTTTTCCGTTGTTATTTGGAGGTTAGCATGCTAAAACATCTTTGCGCAATGATTCTGTCATTGTAGGAATTATGTGCATCTGGTTGTCCAAGTGAATGGAATTATGTGAATAACACAAACTATAATAGGCCGATGATTGAAAAATAAATTGAGTGATGTAAGTGTATAACTACGCTTTTGTTTGTTTGGAAGGGAAGGGAAGTGTGAGGTGGGGAGGAGGTACCCATCTGCAGCCTGTCTTCAAATTGAACACCAATAGGCATTTGGAATGCTTGTTTCCATTTTTAGATGTCGCTGATGGTTTTTTAAGACCCTTTACTGATACAGTTAGTAGTCTATCTGGATGTTCAATTGTGATTTTCTTCATTAAATTCTCAACTGTTTATAATGATATTTCCTTATCCAGTATGAATTGCAATCACTCTTGAAAGTTAAAAGATTTGCAGTAAGAGATTCCCTTGTGTATCTAAACAATAAAATTGTTTTCTGACCTAGATTAAAAAATAAGTCCTGTATATTGGAATGAAACATTTTATTTTCCCCCCTGAATGAATGGAGATGTAACAGTACCAATCTTCATTTTTTCTTGCTTTGATTCTGAAGCTTTTGGAATTTCCTCCCGCAGTATTAATTGACTTTAATATTAAGCAAGTTGTGATTTTTCAACATGCAACCTTTTCTTTTCTTTTTAGAGGGGTCCATTAAGTTATAATTTAAAGCCTGAAACGTTTTCTTTATTAAGATTTGTGTACAGTGGACCTCAATGTAATTTTTCCATGTATTTGCTCTCTTTTTAAGGTGATTCTGGACAGGTCACTAAGAAGCATTCAAAAGATTCAACAAACGTGGATGCCGAAGAGGATATAGATTGGTTAAGAATTTCTGAGATGCAAAAGAGGTATTACATTTGTCTGTAGATGCACAGCTGTTGCTGTTTTATTTTGAGCAATTAGGTGAATTCATACAAATACCTCTGAATTATTGATTGTTTAGATGAAGATCTCTCTCTCTCCCCTTTTGTTTTTGTTTGGATTGACACCCTTTTTACTATGTTAGTTATTAACAGACCCTCCTTTTTTCTACTTGGATTGACACTTCTTTGTTTTTTTTTCTTTTGATTTTAATACATAAACTATGATTGGGGGCCCTTTTATAAATTTACCACCGGATGAAAGGTTTTATTGTTGCGAGTTCATTTGTATGAATTTTAAACCACACCACCTCAGGATTTTACTGTTTTAAGGCTTTAAAATTTTAAATTGAAAAACTAAAAACTCAAATTTTTGAGTTTGATTGGAGTTTAATAATGGATTTTGATATCAAAATGTTGCGAGAGAGATTGAAGGGATTATTTAGTGGTCTTTTGGGTTGATTTAGTTGTCATAAAGGTAGAGTTCCGATGGTGATGGTGACAAAAGGAGTGCTAATCCAAACACATCATAGTTCACGTATTAAAATCAAAATTAAAAGAATATAGAGGGTGTCAATCCAAACAAAAAAGAATAAGGAACTTATTAATAGTTTAAAACAGTAAAGAGGTGTCAATAAAAAAAGAAGAAGAGAAGAGGTCTCCATCCAAATGACCGATGATTCAAAGGCTGTTTGTACAGATTTGCTGAGCAGTTAATAGAGCATACAGATTTAAAATTTAAATGCTTCTTCCTCCTTTCCATATTGGAAAACTAGCATTCACACTCGGGATATGTTTCAGCTAGAATTGGGATGCGAAAAAAAACTGCTGTGGATATGAACACATGAACTAAGTATTAACTTTAAATGCATGTATCTTGAAGAATAGCTCCTTTCCGAAACAATTGATAGATAAATGGCAGAGAAAGACACCGATGACAACAGGTGCTCCTGCTATGACAGGAAAATTGCAGGCTTTTTGACAGCTGCGTATAATCAATAAATATATTAGGATTTCCAGTTCAAATGCATACAAACATCCCATGACACCAAAAATAGTAACAGGTTAAAAATTGGTAAGTTTTCGTCTCTGTTTGCTTGGAATTAGACACACATAATTCAAACCTACACAGACACCGAGTCACACTAGAGATAACTTATGAAGGCAGTCAGATCTTAGATAAGTTTTGCCATCACTCAGGGCCAAAGTTTTCCCAAAAAACACCGGCAAAAGCAAAACCTGCAATCAAATCAGTCATCACATATTGCATTCCGACGGTCACCAACTAGGAAATTAAAAAATATAAGAGAACCCTCAAGAAGATACATCATAGCCATGTTCCCTTTTATAAACAACAGTGATAATGGGACATGAGAGACCCTTTGAGATGATATCATAGCCAAGTTCCAATTCATGGATACAGTGATAATGGACTTTGAATACAGGAATTTTGGCTGCATATTCCACAGATAAAATTCAAGCAGATAGCACTCACCCTTTTTAATAAGGAATTACAAGAATGCTAAAGATAAAATAAGAACCAAAAACAAAAGTATACTTTGTTGTATCCGCTGCAGATGAGGCAGTACAAAATTTACTAGCATGAAAAATTGTGAGGCAAGACAGTACAACGAAGATTTGCAATGGTGTGATTCTGCTTTGTGATTATCAATTAGTTCGGAGTTTTTCTCTCCCATCAGCTGCCATGTATTTTAGAAGCAGTATTACTTTCCATTTCGTTATTTTTTTATTCTCTGTTCTACTATATTTGCATATGCTGTTCGGTTCAGTTTCTTTGGCCTCATAATTCCGATTCTGCAGTGTGCAGCTTAGAACATTATGTAGAAATGTTATTCCCAGCAAATCAGCTTTCCATTCTAAAATGATAATAAGAGTTATTCCCGGCAAACTACACACAAATCAGCTTTCTAGTCTAAAATGATAATAAAAGTTATTCCCAGCAATCTGAATGAACAAGTAGTTCTACGTGCTCTTAACCACAAGCAGCTCTTTAATATAAAAGTCAAAAAGAAATCAACTGGAAGCAGTTGCACTGGTAGCTCATGAATTTATTGGTAGGAGCACATAAAAGAGAAGTATTGTACCTTATCAGTGACATCTAGGTAAGTCAAACACGTTTCAATGCCCTGCTGAGTGATAGTCCCATAGATGCCCACTTCCTGGAGGGTGAAAAATTTAACACCCTCGCCTCCAGTCTTTGCGAGGATTGATTTACTTGGGTTTTCATGTGGAAGGATGGCTTGACAGCAAAGCTGCATCCCGAAATCGAAAATGTATGGAAGGGCCGCCTCCCACAACAATATGGAGAGGATGGTATTCCCTTCACAAAATTAACAGGCAAAATCAAACTATTTAACAAGGCAATAGTTGTAACAATAATAGAAAACGAAAGAAAACATATCATGTCTAGCATTCTCCATGGTCTTAAATAAGATTAATTAGAAATCATTTAATGATACTCGTATATGTAAAAGGATAAAGCATTGGAGTTTTTCTTCTCTATATACCACAACACCCAGGCGTAGACTCTCTTGATTGATTGTGAAAAGGAGAGTAAATTTTCATTGAAAGATTTGAGCAATGCACTAATCGTCATCTGAAAGAGTCCTTGTAGACTATCTATAATAAATTCATAGTCCGTAGGGTTACTCGAGATGCGCGCAAACTAGCTGGAATACCCATGTTAATTAAAAAAACATGAAGCTCAAAAGCATTCAATACTTGTTCTTACACAAAACAGAAATCCTACTAATCGTAGTTGACTAATCTTATTGAAACTCAAATACTAATCACACAATAACAAATTTCAAATAACACTAGGATTTCTCAACGACAAGAGAAAACCCAAACTATCATAAACTTTTAGAAACAAAAATAAATCCTGCCTCACATTGTCACGGCCACTCACTGCTGCAAGAAATAGTTGGAAACAAGACCAACACCACAACGCTAAGCCAACGTACAGATTAAGAATATGCAAGAAATCATATTAAAAATAAATCTCACCTTAAACGCATATGCGATTTGACGCTCCACATCTGTGACGCGATTGTATGAATAATAAGAAATGAAATCTACACGTAACAATTTTAGGAACATCATTAGTCAACAGTCTTCTATTATGCTCCCTAATCCCCGTCCACCTTTCCTTCCATCCCCACAAAGCAACAAAAATAATAAATGAGAAGATTAAGTTAATAATTACCTGATGGTGATTCTCCTTCATCTAATTCATACTCTGAGCACCTAATGCAACTCCATTGATCACTTCAAACCACAAACACATTAACGGGTGCACAGGTTTTATAAACAAAATAATAAAATCAGTCACTTGACTATAAGATATTGAACTTTCCTCCTCAACTTCTATTAATTAAGATATCCATTTAAATTTCTTCCAACTTAATATAGATAACAACTAAAGCTGATTTGGTTGGATGTACCCCCACAAAAAGTTAACTATTCAGATGATAATCTACAATGCTTGTATTACATCCAGCACCAAAAATATCCTGAGAATCTAATGGAAGGTTTTAACATTTAAGTTGCGGCGATTGAGGGATTGTTTTCAAAAGTATAACAGTGAATTAAAGAAACAAGATAATAGAACAACGCTAGCAGATTAATTGAAAACAAAATATAGCTATTCCATACCATTTCGAGGTGCCTTTCGGATTTGAGGTGCAGACAAGACCTGAAAGCAAACATGCGATCTCTGCAGAATCTTCTTTTGTCATCTCCTATACAGGCAGCAACGGTAGTAGAAAAACCATTTTATATTTCAACTGCTTAAAACTACAGAATTCAGTTGCTGAAAGAAGTTCATAGGTGAAATGGGATTGAAAATACATATTGTGACCTACACTGCATTGTCTCCGCTGAATGAATTGATCAAGACCATCACCAGCCCTCTCAAAAATTTCAAGCAACTGCAATGCAGACATCATATTTGGCTTATCTGTAGACATGTTGTTCGATGTCATGTTTCGCTTATCCATATGTATCTTTGTCGATTTTCCCAATTGTTGCATCTCTTTGTCAATCAGCCTCTCAATCTCGCTCATTAAAAATTGGCGAATCTTACTTCTACCGACACTAGCACCATGTTTACTGTCAAATGAGTCCACGGCCATCAGCTTTTTCCAGGCCACCATCAACAGAGCAGCCACCTTAACCACTCCTCCTTCTCTGGCATAATAGCAAACCAACTCCCCAATCTCCTCAGTTTTGTCCAAGTGTGACTTGATTGTCTCTAGTAATTTTCTCTGTCATTCAGACAAGCTATTTTAAAGACTCTAGATTCCGATAATAATGATCACAAAACAAGGAAAGAAAATACAATATAAAATTTCAAGCACCAACCGAGTCCATTGAACCAAGTGCGTAAAGCAATGAGGTGACTGGTTTTTCAGAAGTCCAATCCCTTAAACAGATATTTTGGCTGCAACAGAATAAGTAGTTTCAAATAAACCCACCAATCAAGCAAGAACAGAAACAAAAATGTTTAGGTTTCATTTGCTTGTGGAAAAAAGGTTCATACCTTTTCCACGTTAATTAGTTGTATGCAAGTATAAAAACAAGAAAACATATTTGCCTAGAATTAGTTGCAATATAGGAAACAAAGGATCTTTCCCGGTTTAACATAAAAAAGAAAAATACAGAGGTACAAAACAAGCAGACCCAAGTTCTCTATCACATAAAAATCCACATGAAAATCTAGAACATTTTTTTCATAGATAAACACACCCTCAACACCTCTGCAAAGCTTTATTGAGTTGTCTATCAGTTAAATACATCTATTTGAGATCTCTTAGTTGTACCATAATAATTTTAGATCTTTGTCCAGTGATGCATCGGGCTTGAAGTCAATCTCGTTATACTTCATTCCATTGCATCGTTGTGATTGGAAGACTGGATTCTTTCTCCACTTTGCATAACTGCTGATGTTTAAAGAAGATCCCTTCAAAGGCAAGGTACACAATAAAATCAGGTCAAATTTGCAAGATGCACACCCGCAATGAAAAGAAAGTTTTGCGCAAGCTCAATACATTCCTACAACCAACAACATTGAGTGTTTGCTAATGCATCAAATGAGCTTTCGAGCTCTTTTCAATCAATTTGACATACTCGTATAAAAGCCACCAAACATCACTCGGTTCATGCCCTTTCAGCCCAAACTCACTTCAGAAAAGCCCCTTCAAACACATTGCCATACATAGCATAACCAGAGCATGAAATACACTGCTTTCATTTAGTGTTTAGGTGTTCTATAAAATATTTTCTCAGAAAAATGCCAGTTGAAAAGAAAATGTTTCCTCCGAAAGGAGTATTTTCAAATTTTCCAGTTTTGTGGAAATAAAAAAGATATACTCCCAAAAATTATACTTTATTAAACGAAGTATGTGGTTCGACAATCTTTATATTTAAAATACAAAAATAGTTAAAAATTTCTTTTGTCAATCTGTCGAAAAATAGTGATGAAATTGAGTTAAAAAACAGGGATTAAAAAATGCAAACAGCACTCATCTATTCAAAACTAATTCATGCGAATATGGTCAACTTAACTCCTGCTGGAAATCCAGCGGACAAACCAGTAAGAAATTATAGGCAACTAATGGAAGAAAAACACATTCAACATGCTAGCTCTCACCACAAATAGAAAACAACAATTCCAACCTTACCAATTGATAGCTTTTTTCTGCATTCTTTCTAGCAATCCAGACTTGACCGAAATCCAGTAAACTTGGCCATGAAAAACTATGAAAGTTCAAAAAGAAATAAAAGATGAGATAACAAACGAATACCTTTCCTATGGAGCCCCCCCAAAAAAATGATCATACAAAACAAAATATTAACAAGAAATTCCAAAAGGCAGATTGATCTGAAAGAAATGATATGTTTGCAATGGCAATCATTAGCCAGCCAGAAACAGCATGAAAATCCAACCTTTCAACGTGGTGCATATCAGTGTCCTTGTCATCCAAACAAAAGCCCGCTTCTTGAAGTGCTCGGGCTACTTGTTCTTGTGGCGTCTACAGGGGAAAAGAGGGATTCCATCAAATGAAAATATGTTAATCATTGAAAAATATACGATAGAAAAACATGTTAATGCAGAGAATGGTTGTTAGAATCTTACAAGTTACAATTCTAGTCTTATGATTATTCTCCAATCACAAACAAAACAGCGCAAGTTGTAGGTTGTGGGGTGAATCGCAAGTGTACATGAATTAGGCGAATTGGTTTCGCTTCAACTTTATTCAGCGTAACTAGTTCAATTTTATGAGTCAACTCAAATAGAAACTAACACGGTGATTTTAGAATAGATGGTAGCAAGAGGAATGCTAAGTCTAGAAGGCATGGATGATGACAACAAATACACAATATTCTTCTTCGGCAAATCATAATGTTCAAAACTAAAACCAATTAGACATAAATTTTCACAAGGGAAAAGGTGAAAGAAAGCAAGTGTGACAAAGACAGGAGGAGTGACAATCACGATCAAAAACAAAACGACTTAAGACTATAGCAGCACTAGCATGGGCCAACACACACCAACAAACAATGCCAAGAAAATCATCCAACCAACCTGGTTTTGAAGATAACTCTCAATGGTTTTGCCAGCCCTCTCAAAAATTTCAAGCAATAGTAGGGCAGACACCATCAAATTCTGCTTTTCCTTGCAGCTACTTGATAACTTATCGTCTTCACAACAAATTTCCAGCTTCACTTGAAGAGCACTTAGTTGTGCAAGCTCAGAAATGATGAACTCACGAAGAGTCACGCAATGATCCAGACAACTAGAATCATGATCATTTTGAGATAAAGATGATTTCGTAGCCAAGGAAACAGAAGTAACCTTCTCTCGAGCCACCAAAAGTAGAACAGCCAGCTCCACAAGCCTTCCATGCTTTGCATAGCAAAAAATTTCCTCCCCAAGTTCATTTGTCTCCCGAGCGAGCAACCTCACGATTTCCAACTTTGATCTCTGCATTAACAGGGACCACCAGCAAAATAAATGACTAGCCTCAAAATGAAATAGAATAGGCAAACAAATGAATATCCAATGACTTCAAATTAGGAAACAAACCAATTGTGGCAGGCAGAGAACCATAAGCATCTTGTAAACCGATTGCTCTGGAGTCAAAATCTTGAAATGAATTAGGTAGCTACTGCAGTTGGCATTATATATAAAAGCTATGTTAGAGCTCATATAAGGGAGAGATACTTGGATAACCCTAAAATTAAGAGAGTGAGACTCCTATTACATTAACATGCACTCTTAAGAAACCGCAATGTGAGTAAATTGGAACTTTAATGGCAACTCTCAATAGAATGAGAGAAAAGGTAGTTACCTTAACAAGTGAAGTGAATAATTAAGAGGAAGCATTTGATACTGATTAAATATATCAAACGGGCTCCTGAAATCTGTAGGAGCATTGTGCTTTAGGAATAACTCAACCAATGGAAGACAAGATCTCCAAACTGCCAAATGCAGTGGGGCCAACCCAAAATCGGGATGAACTGCATTAAAATCAATGTGATTCGCAACTTTGATTATGCATTTCACTGCATTGAAGTTAAGGAATTTCATTAAGCATCTGATGTGCAATGTCCATGATGTTTGGCCTTGGTGGTCTACTGGCCACTTCAACGTTTTCAGAAATCTGTCTGCATCATCAGCGTGTAAAATGGTGGTGATTGGACAATCATACTCGCCACAAAAGTGCATGGGATCACAACCATCCTGAGAGAAAACAGTGAAAAGAAAACATGTGTTGCTATTATTACTGCTAACAACAAACAAAAACTTCATGCAAGCTAAAATCACCACGCAACGATTTGCTCTGGTAGCAAAGCCCAAAATCTCTGAGGTAGCCGGTTAAAGTTTCTCTCTTTCGCAAGGCTCACAGAAGGTCTTAGTAGGACTGAAGGTTCTGTGCAGACCATGTCGGTCCTTTTCTAGCTGTGATTCTACCCCATTAACACCCGACTTTCAAACCCTAAAATTGCTGCTTAATAAATAAATAAATAAAGCGTTTTAAAACAAAATGCATACATGGTTCTGAACGTGATTGTGGGAATCTTCATCGGAATCATAATCTTCTTCTTCGAATCTTTGCAACCAAAAAATAAAAATAAAAATAAACTCATCCAAAATAAATAAGTTAAACAAGAAGTATGAAATAATATGTTTAAACAAATTTCCTTCAAATAGGAAACGTGTATATATATATATATATATATAAAAGGAGTCTTACACTTTTCTTTTGAGGGTTTGGACAAGTGCAGAGACTTTCTTCAACATCGCAGACGTTAAATGAGAAAAGGAGATCGGCATGAAAATGTCAAATAAACAATCTTCCGGGGTAAATCAGTCGCGAAAATTAGGAACAGCATGCAACGCAGCGCAGGAAAGGCCAAGATTTTTTATTTTGATGTTAGGTTATAAGGTTTTAAATTATACGATTCTTTTTTATTTGTTTCCGCTTCTGCGGCTTGCTTCAATGTTATATAGTGAGTTTTGCTTTATAAATTTACAGGTGTCCGGCGCTAGGGCTAACTTTTTTTTTATATATATAAAACATATTAAAAATTATAAAATCCAAAAGGGTCGGGGTTTTGACTACAATACCATATCTAACAGGGTTTCTTTTTATTTTTTATAAAAATAAAAATAAATCCGTCACATAACATGGGAACCAACAAGTTTTTATTAGAATACAGATGACCCGTCGTATGGTTGCATGGTGTCGATGACTTCCATTTACATTAAAATATGAGAGAATGTTGTACGGTGGGAATGGGAATGATAAAAAAGCTTCCTGTTTTTAGTTTCTTTTAATTAATTTCCGAAATAATTGAGACATCAAGCTAACGTTCGAACATGAAAAGCTCGGCCCTTGTACTGTTTACCAACAGCTCAAACGCACAAAAACGCCTCGTGAACGAGAAAAATAAAATAAAACTATATAGCCGAAATTTCAACAGAGTTTCCTTTATACCTGGAGTTCCATGTCATCCTGTACAGTTATACTCATTTCTCAATCATATTATAATCATGTGGAACCTCAACAGCACATCATTCATGGTACATGCCTCACATTTCGCATGCTCATTTCTTTCCCATTAACACACATAATTCATAATAAAAGGAAGTAAACAAACTAAGATTACAAATACAGAATAGTACATTTTTATGTCCCGACACTTAATGTAAAGGGAGTACTGTTACATATTAAGTCATTTAGTTCCTTAAAGACAAAATACATTAATGTTCATCTTCTTATTCAATCATGTAAAAGGAGACCAAAGGACCTTAACCCAATCAAGTACTCAAATCCATTTTTAATTTCTCGTTTATTTCACTATATCCTTTTTCTTTGTGGTTTCACCCATAGACGCAAAGACTAAGAATTTAATAAGTTAGTAATTTAACGCTTCGCAAAAAGTGTAGGTATAGAATACCTACCATCTGCAGAAGCTCAACTCGCTCTTCCTTCTTGTTGTTGTTGTGCCCCTCCTGTAATCCCTCCTTGAGCTCCTACTAAACCAGCTCTTGAGAAGTCGAGTGAATGCTTCTCCTATATTTTTATTTAATTTGTTTAATTAAATCAATTTTGAACTATTAGTGTCATAATTAAATCAAATTTGAACTGCTACTGTCTTAACTTTGGACTGTTACTGTCTTAACTAAATCAAAATTACTGTCTTAATTATGAACTTACTGCCAATAATGACTTCCAAACTGCTCCTGTCTTAAATTTGAACTGTTACTGTCTTAATTAAATTAAATTTGAACGGTTAATGTCTTAATTAAATCAATTCTAAACTGTTACTGTCTTATTTGAATTGCTACCATCTTAATTAAATTAAATTGGAACTGTTTCTGTCTGAATTATATCAAAATTACTGTCTTAATTTTGAACTTACTGCCAATAATGACTTTCGAACTGTTACTGTCTTAAATTTGAATTGTTACTGGCTAACTTTGAACTGTTAATGTCTAAACTTCGAACTGTTACTGTCCTAATTAGTGTAAGTGTATAATTACTTTAACCAGTTAGTTACTTCAATGGAATATGCTTGGTAAACATTGGAAAAAATAAAACCACATATTGTAATGACATTAATATTCTTATCCTGTCCAATGTTCGAAGTATAGATTATAAAATATATTGTTTACTAAATCAAAATTAAAGACATTCAAAATTGTAAACGCTTTCTTCTTGAAAGTTTGATGTTGTCTACAGCTAAAGAATATTGCGTCTCGTGCAAAAACGAAGGTGTTAGGGGATTCCTTTTGCCTCTTCTAACTGCAAGACAAGAAAAATCACAAGAGTGAATAGTCGGGTATGGAGATATATTGGAAAATCAAGAGAAAAGTAATGTCATACCTATGACATCATCAACAACAGGAGGTGCTTGTTCAATTGGAGGAGGAGTAGCTGGATGCGAAAATTAAGAGAAAAATAATGTCATGCCTAAGATATATTTGTTATTGCAAGACAAGAAAAATCACAAGAGTTTTCAAATCTAAATACATCTTCATTTGCATTATACATGTCCAGCAATGCTTGTATTAAACGAGAATCTTGCTGGAATGTTGCTGAGATTCTTTGGATTACATCTAAACCTGTGCCTTCCAGTCTTTTCGAAACTTCATGATCTGGTACCCAAGAACCTGCTTGGGCGATGTGAGTGAATAGATTTATCTGTAAAATAACAAGAAACCATATCATAGAATCATGAATATGTAATTCAAAAGTGCATATATAATACAATTTCGAAGCATGAATATACAATGCGAAGAAATTTGTAAATTATGACTAATTGTTCGCTACACAAAGAAAATGTATTGGACATAGTAGATGTTGTCAATAGATTATGCCCTGTTACACTATAATTCATTGCTGATTGAAAATTTGAGAAATGGTTAATCCAAGGTGCCTAGCCCTTCTAATTTCAAGTTTTTTTTCATAGATTTTCAGCTTCTGAACATTAAACCAATATCATAAGACATTAACATTAGAAAGAGAGATCCGGCAACAGCATCAAAATTATACAGTAACTGTACATTAACACAGAAAGAGAGATAAAGTACAGCATCAAAATTATACAGTAACGGTTTGCATGTCTTTTATATTTGATGGAAAGATCCTTTCTGGTTTCATAGTTGAAAACAAATGAAATATATGAACCAGAAACCCGTAAATAAGAGAGTAACAGTTGAGAAGAGAGACAGTATCAGTTTGGTGATTACGCTATTACATGAATTCAGAATAAAACTAAATTCGAATTGGCAATGAAGAAGAACCGTAGCACTAACCTTTGATTTGCTCTCCAACCCCATTCCTTAGACTACAATTTGGCTGTTGATGTTTGGCTTTTCAGTGTCAATTAAAGAACTATGGAAAGCGCTTAAATGGAATTCGAAAATCAATTCAGGAGGCAAGCTCGACTCGTGTGTGATGTTTGGCTTTGCAGTCTCCATTTAAAGAACTCTGGAAAACGCTTAAAAAAGAGATTTTCTAACATTTTATTTATTTATTTATTTACATTAGAGATTTTTTTTTAAAAAAAAATTAGCTTTCAATAAACTACATAAAATGAAGCCACTTTTAACCAAAATATTTCTAAAACAATTAAAAAAAAAATAATAAGTCTATTCAACTCATGTCGTGTCCGACACACAATGACAATCATTCACAGGCAGTCAAAAAAGTTTACAATGACATGTCGTTCACGACTTGTATGTGCTTGCTGCAGTTACATTCCAGAGCAATACATAACCCGGCAAATCTTGACTGTTATTGTCTTAATTAAATTAAATTTAAACTTTTATGTATCAATTTTGAACAGTTACTGACTTACTCTCTAACTTTGAACTGTTACTGTCCTGATTGAATCAAATTTGAACTGTTACTGTCTAAACTTTGAACTGTTACTGTCTTCATAAAAAATTTCCAATGACATGTCACTCCTTCCGTACTGACGCTGAAAAACAACAACTTGCTGTCTTTAGTCATTGCTTCATTAAAGAAATAGTTTTTTGTTTCTCATCTTCATCGTACATAATAGAAACTTAGGATACGTTTGTATATTGTTTATCTCATTTTTCAAATGTTACTTTATAATTTCTGAATAATTTTGACGTCATTACTATCTTGCTCTGTTAATGAAAATCAATGAAAAAAACAACCCTAAAACACATAAACCTGATTTTTAATTTTTGTTTGTCAAGCTGTTACTGTCTTCATGTATTGTTTGTCACTAATAAACCTGATTAAATCTATGAAGAAAACATGGTTTGGAAAGAATTTTTGTCCTGTGACTGTTTGTTGCTCCAACTGCTACTTGAATAAACTAGATCATTTTAAACAAAAAATGTGGTTTGCAGATGGCTTCCATGGGAAAAGGTCCACAATTCAAGTCAAACCTTTATGCAATAGTCAAGGATGTTGGGACGGCAAACATCACAGAAAGAGTGAAAAACGAGCTCATCAAGACACCATTCTGGATATTGATAGAATGCATCTTGGAAGGGCGTGTAGATAAGAATACATGTAGAAAAAGTGACCTTGCTGTATATCAGATTTTGCAAACATACGTCAAAAATGAAGAAGTTTTCAGGATTAACGACAAGGACTTTAAAATATATGCAGAGGACATGAAATTGATTTTTGGGATCAGAGATGGAAACATGCAGATAGATGTCAAGAAAAATAAGGCTGCAAGGATGCGAAACAAGACAGCTTTTGAAAAACGTTGCTTTCCAAAAGTAGCAAGGTTGACAAGGAAGGAAATAGATAAGGTGTTCAAAAGACTATGCTGCATAGAAAGTGAAAATCTCACCGATGAAAATGTCCAAGATATTTGCAGGGTTTTGGTCCTGAAACTTCTTGTGTCTCTTTTGAACTGTTACTGCCTCAATTAAATTAATTTTTTGAACTGTTGCTGTCTTCATTAAATCAAAATTTGTCTTAATTTTGAACTTTTATTGTCTTAATTGAATCAATTTTTTCAACTGTTACTCTATCAATTAAATCAATTTTTTGAACTGTTACGGTCTTAATTAAATCAAAATTACTGTCTTAATTTTAAACTTACTAACAATAATGACTTTTCGAACTGTTACTGTGTCAAGTTTGATCTGTTACTGTCTTAAGTTTGAGCTGTTACTGTCTTAATTTTAAACTTACTAACAATAATGACTTTCGAACTGTTACTGTGTCAATTTTGAGCTGTTACTGTCTTAAGTTTGAGCTGTTACTGTCTAAATAAATCAAACCTGAACTGTTACTGTCCTATTTTATATGTCCTCAATTACTTTTGCTCTACTTGTCTGTTGCAACAGCACGAGTTGCGGCTGGCCGAAATTGAGTACCTGCAGAAAAGGGTAATTTCTAGCTTGCTCTCACTTTCATTTTATACTTTACGAACCTCTCTTTTGTCTAATTCATGTCCAAATTGATTTAAACACCTCATT